CTAGAGATGCGTGGCGCACAGAGAGGTTTATGTGACTTACACAGTCAGTGTCAGATGTGGGACTTGACCCCAGATCTTATCAATTCTGAGCCTGGCTCTTGTATACCATTACTTCCACAAATTACCTAAAGTAATAATATACCAAGTGGAATATTTCACTTGGAGTATTGTTTGCCAATAGATGGTGCTAGTGTTCTACAGTTTCCTTTAGTTCGAGAACTTATTCTTTATTCTGGCCGCTAGACAAACTATTTTGTGTGCCTTTTTTTATTTTTTCTGGCTTAGCTGTGATTTCACCTTGCTCATTTGCTATTTTGTTAATATGATTTTCTGATCTCTTCTTTTTAATCAGATTAGCTAAGGGTTTACCAATTTCATTAGACTTTTCAAGGAGCCAGCTTTTAGTTTTATTTATCATTTCTATGTTTGTTTGTTTTTTGTTCCCAATTTATCTATTCCCCCCCTAGTTTTTACTCTTTCCTCTTTTATGCTTATTTTAGGTTTGTTTATTTGAAGGCATTTAAATTTTTTAAATGCATATGCAGTTCATTAATCCTTTCACTTTCAATTTTGTTAATGTATCATTATAAAGATATGATTTTCCACCTGAGGACTGCTGTAGCTGCATCCCAGAAATTTTGGTATGTTGTTTCACTATTATCATTTTCTTTTACATAGTTATTAATTGTTTCATTGATTTGTTCTTTGACTCACTCAGTATTTACAATTTCATTGTAAAGTCTCCATTTGGATTATATCTTTGTGGTCCCTGAATCAGTTTTTATTCTTATTGTATCATGATCTATAAAGGATGTATTAACTATTTCTGCTCTTTTACATTAGTTTGCAATATCTCTGTGCCATAGTACAGGGAGAGTTTTTATGAAAGTTCTACATGGTGCTTAAAAATATGCTTTTTTTTTTGCTATCCCATTTAGAAGATAAGTCTTTCACTCATTTCTGTAGAAACTGTTTCAGTTCCATATATTCCTTATATTTGTTAGACTTATTCAGAACTAATAGAGGGATATTGAAGTCTTGTTTCACAACTGTATTACTTTTATGTTTTCTTGAAGCTCAGGTAATGTTTCCTTTGTGAATTTGAATGCTAAATGTTTAATTTGTTACTGATATTGGGATGTTGTCTATGGTTCCTTTTAGTATAGTATAATTTCCTTGTTTATACCTTTTTCTTTTTGAATGCTTGTTTTTGCTTTGTCTGATAGCATGATGACAGCTTCTGTTTTTTCGTATTCACTTGATGCCTAGGGAATTTTTTTCTCCATTCCCTTAGTTTTATTTTGTGTATGTCTTTGTTTTTTAAATATATTTCTTATAGGCAGTAGGGCTTTGTTTTCTTATCCATTCTATCATTCTTTTTCATTTTACTAGATTGTTTAATCCATTCACATTTAAAGTTATGAGAGTTAGGTTTATATTTCCTTCCATCTGCCTCTACAATTGCTTCCTTTTTTTTTCAAGTTAGGAATTTTTTTCCTTTTTTGCTATAAACACAGTATTTTGCTCCTTTAGTTACTTTAATGTTTTTCTAAGGTGGCCCTGTTCCCACTGGTGCTCTTCTCACCCCTGATAACCTCCTCTCATTCGTTAATACCCCTATCCCTTTGGGATTTTGTTTATTAATTCCTTTTGTCCATGCTTTTATCTGGTTATATATTTCTTCCCCCTCTTTTTTCTTCTCAGGTAGATTCTTCCTTCCTCTCCTCCTCTTCAGATACTCCTGTTTCAGAAAAGGATTTCTCTCAGCTCTCTTCTTTATCCATCCTTCTCTTTCTGTTTACTCTAGATATGCATTCTCTAATTTCATGACCCCTGTAATTATATGGTTTCTCCCTTTTCTCTGTATTCTTCATACTGTCAAAACATCCAAGGTAACCATTCTAGGTTATCCCCTCTAGCTGCTTTTGGCCATGGCTTTGTAGGACTTACCCCATGAATTCCCCTTTTCCATTGTGTCTCACTGTTAGAACAATCCTTATTGTTGCAAGTGTCAGAGAGACACTTGCAGAGGGCCCTTTACTCTACCCTCTTTTACTGACCTTTTTTTCCCCCTTCCTACATTTTCCTGGAAATATCTTTCTTGTGTCTATATTCTCCCACTCCTCCAGGTGCCAGTTGCCTTCTGGTGTTCTAGTTGCCCCCGCTTCCAGGACAGGTAGCCTTTTGAAGCCCCAAATCCCCCAGGCCTTATGCAGTGTAAGGTTCTCATCTCCTTTCACTTCTAGGAGCATTCATCTCCTGTCTTCAACGTAAGGCTTCCTTCCTTTCCCTTTCTTTTCAGTCTTTTCCCAATCCTCTCTTCACCCAGTCCCCTGTAAGGTCTTTTCTTTCTGAATCTTGTTCAGATACTTGTTGGTTTAGATTACCTCTGAAGTCACTTCCATTCCAGATTCTGTAATTCTATAAGTATTTCTTTACATATAGTAGATTTTCAGACTTTTTGAGCCTGAAGGAACTTTAGAAGGTCTAACCCTTAATTTTTAGAAGAAAGGCACTTACATTAAGTTTCTAGACTTGTATGTTAGACATTTTAGTACACGTGTATGGAAGATAGAGCTAATGTTCATCTACAGGATAGTAGCTACAGAAGTGTATCATGTGTGTGTTTATTAATCTTCTTGGTTAAACTGTTCGTATCTGATACAGAAGGAGGAAATTTTCCCTTTGTCTAGTGTCTAGAAACTGGCTGTGTTGGTTAGGAGAAATGAGAATCACCTTTGTTTCCGTCGTGGAGTACCAGCCAGGTGAAGGAAGAAGTAAAAAATCCAGCTTATTGCTGCCCTAGAATGGAGAGATCTCAATAGGCTTCTGAAACTCAACATTTGAAAAACAGAAAATATTTATCTTTCTTCCCAAGCCCACTCCAAATTTCCCAATTTCTAACAAGAATATCCCCATCTTTTCAGTCAGCCAGGTTCTCAACTCTAACGTATCCTTAATTATTCATTTCCCTTCTCCAGGCATTTGCCAGATTTGTTGTTTCTACCTCTACGAAGTTTTTTTTTTTCTGTCCCCTTCTCTCCAATAAGGCAGCTAGATGGCACCATACTGCGTAGAGTGCCAGGCCTGGAGTTAGGAAGATTCATCTTTCTGCATTCAAATCTGGCCTCAGACACTTGCTAGCTATGTGACCCTGGACAAGTCACTTAACCCTGTTTGCCTCAGTTTCCTCATCTGTAAAATGAGCTGGAGAAGGAAATGGCAAACCACTCCAGTATCTTTGCCAAGAAAACCCCAAAAGGTGTCATGAAGAGTCAGAGAAGACTCAACAACAACAACTTTACTCACACAGCTTACCACTCTAGTTAAGGCCTTTATCATCTCTTTCCTGTACTATTGTAATAGCTTGCTAATTAGTATCCCAGATTGAAGTCTCTCTTCATTCTAATTCATTTTCCTCATAGCTGCCAAAGTGATTTTTATAAAGGAAAGGTCTGACCATATTATTCCCTTATTAATAGTATATAATGGCTTCCTTTTATCTCTAGAATCAGATAAACTCCTCTCTGGTATTTAATGCCCTTCACAAACAGTCCCTAACCACCTTTCCAGTTTTATTACAGTAAGAAGGATATTATGTCTTTCTTTACTGTACCTCATAGAACATTTTTTTCTCCTGACTTTGCATTTGTAGTAGCTGTTCCCTGTGCCTAGAATGCTTTCCCTCTTCACCTCAGCCCCTTAGAATCCCTAATTTTCTTCAAATCTCAGTTCAAACACCACTTCTACATCAATCTGTCAGTTAACATTTATTAGGTACCTACTGTGTGCTGGGCATTATGCACTGGGGATACAAAAAGAGGTAAAAAACCTTGACCTCAAAGAGCTCACAGTCTAACAGAGGAGACATCAAGTCAAACATATATGTACAAACAAGCTATATACAAGGAAATAATTAATAGAGGGCACTAGAATTAAGAGGTGTTGGGAAAGGCTTTTATTTGAGACTTGAAGGAAACTGTGCAAGTCAGTAGAGTCAGTTGAGGAGGGGGAGCGTTCCAGGTATAGAGGAAAGCCTGTTGGAGGTAGCAGATTGGAGGTCAGCAGAGAGGTTAGGGCAGGATGGGTAGATTTGAGAATCATCAATAATTAAATCCATGATAGCTGATGAGATCACCAGATGAAATTGTATAGAGGGAAACAAGAAGTGCCCAGAACAGAACCCTATGGGACGCTTACATTTAGAGGGTATGACCTGCATGAAGATTTACCAAAGGAGACTGAAAAAGGAGTAGTCTCATAGGTTGGAAGAGAACCAGGATAGAGTGTTTTCATGAAAACTTAGGGAGAAAAGAGTTATCAGGAAGAAGAGGGTGATCACAGCATTGTCAAAGGCTGCGGAGAGATCAAGAAGAGTAAGGATGAAGAGGTCTTTGTTAGCTTTAGAGAAAGTAGGTTTGGTAAAGTGGTAAGATAGGAAGTTGGATTGTGAGGGATTAGGAAGTGAATGAGAAGACAGAAAGTGGGGGCACTCATTATAGACAGCTTTTCAAGGAGTTTAGCTATAGCAAGTAGAAGAGATAGTGGACATTAGTTAATGGGGATGGAAGGATCAAGTGAGTTTTTTGAGGATGGGGGAGACATGAGTATGATTGTAGGCAGAGGGGAAGGATTCAATTGTCAAGGGGAGATGGAAGACAAGAAAAAGAGTGTGGGGGCAGTCTTTGGAGGAGACATGAATCTTTTCCTGCTAATGCCTTCCTTCTTTATATCTGTCTACCTTATACATGTTGTCTACCCTAGATAAGTAGTCCAATTTCCAGTGGACTGTTCTGCTTTTCTCTCTGTATCCTGAGTACTTAACAGCCCGTAGTAGTTGCTTAATGCTTATTGATTGAAAAAATCTTTTTTGAGAACTGTTGCATTGAGAATACTACTTTCTGAAAAGCCCCAGAGCTGCCACTCCCATTATTTATATGTATATCTATACAGGCATGCTAATTGAATATCATATATATACATAACTGTTCCTTTTGTAGGAATGCTTTGTGTGGAAAGCTTCAGTGTGAAAACGTGCTAGGTATGCTGCCTGTATTTGGGTTTGTCCCAGCCGTCATTCATACTTCAGTTAGGGGCACTACATGTTCAGGTGTGGATTTCCAGTTAGGATCAGATGTGCCTGATCCTGGAATGGTGAATGAAGGCACAAAATGTGATGATGGAAAGGTAATCCAAAAAAATTTTATTTATTAAGTGGACTCTTGGATGCTTTTTAACAATTGAACACTTCTTTGAATTAAGAATATGTTTGTTTGTTTGTTTTTTTAAGATCTGTAGAAATTTCCAATGTGTAAGTGCCTCTGTTCTGAACTATGACTGTGATATTGAGAAAAAATGCAGTGGACGAGGGGTAAGTAATATATGGTATAAAATTTCCTTTTTTATATGTTTGACTTTTAGAAGAGAGTTATGAATAGTGATATTGCAAGTTAAATGTGAGCTTATTCTTTGGCATCACTTTTATTAATTTATCATTTTGGTTCAAAGAGACGTTGCCTCCGATATAAGTCTCATTTCAAAGATGAAATAATTTTCTTTGAAAAGATAACAGTCTATAGGTTTATAGGTATACATTTAAAAATACTATTTATCAAAAGATCTAGAATTTTACTGATATGGATTCTCCCCCCACTGACACAGATACTTCTTCATGTCTTAATAAATGATTTAATGAGTTACTTTGGCCAAAAAAAAAAAAAAACCCTATCTCTTTTTGACTAATCTCTGTAGGTCAAGTGTACTAAAAAAGGATTCCGGGAATTAACCTACAAATGAAAACATAGTATGGAAGAATTTTTACGTTTTTTTTTACTCAAATAAAAAGAAGTTTTATTCTTTTTATGTCATTGTTCTTTAAATTGTTCTTTATTGGTATACAGTTATAGTCTTTCCTCAAGTTTTGTACAATCCAGATTTGGGTAAAAATGTGGCAAGAAGTAGAATAGGATTTTAGTGTCCCCCAAAGATTTTCTTCTTTTGAAAGAGGATGTAAATTTATGTGAATTGAATCCTCCCTTTTCATTTCCATTTCTGGTACCATATTTTAGGAAAAGCAATGATACTTCTTTTTTTCACTTTTACCAACTTTGGTGGTAAAAGATTGGGTAAGAGAATGAGGAGAAGGACTTATAATTAATGAGAGATGGAAAAGGAAGTTGAAAATGACTGTCAGGGTGCTAAGTATGTGAGGAAAGATCTCCAGGGGAGTTGGCCGTAAGAGCTACTGGCAAGGACCAGGAAACTTGCTTCTAGAAAGTACAACAAGGGGCAGCTAGGTGGCGCAGTGGATAGAGCACCGACCTTGGAGTCAGGAGGACCTGAGTTCAGATCCAGCCTCAGACACATAATACTCACTAGCTGTGTGACTCTGGGCAAGTCACTTAATCCCAGTTGCCACCCCCCCCCCAAAATGCAAAAGCTTAGAATGAGTTAAAGCTGGTGAGAAAAATAAAGGACAACAAAAAGTGCCTTTTGCTTTTATTTTTGCTATGTTTTTAGTCAACAAGCATTTGTTAAGTGACTACTGTATACCTGGCACTGTGCTAAGTGTTGAAGTTAAAAAGGAGGATCAAAAAATGTAGCTGGGACTGCTATTCCAAGTGGATAGTTGATAACAGAAATGTGACTTTTCAACTCTTATTTTGCCTTTTTTCTTTTCCACGGATAAGGCTTTGTAGACTGAAATTAAAAAGTTTTTTAAAAAAATTACTTGTTTGACAGTTGATACTTACAAGACATAAAAAGAAACACCTTCAGGTCACCAGATCCAGATGAGCTATGTCATAGGGTACTAAAATAATTGACAGGCGGGATTACTGAGCTGCTGACTTTGAACATTTGCAGAAAAGAAGAGGGTACCACAGGATTACTGAAGGGCAAATGTTCTGTTTATTAAAAAGAGAATAGAATACATTCCACCAACTGTAGACAAGACTTAGACTCAGAAGCTTCAATATTTTGCAAATTTTTAAAAGATTTTAAAAAGAATCATCATTGATCTCCAAAAAACAGAACATGGACTTTTTTTTCCCTTTTTTTTTTTAAAGGCAGTTGGGGTTAAGTGACTTGCCCAGGGTCACACAGCTAGTGTCAAGTGTTTGGTCTAAGGCCAAATTTGAACTCAGGTCCTCCTAACTTCAGGGTCAGTGTTCTGTCCACTGCGCCACCTCACTGCCCCTAGAACATGGACTTTTCAAAGAAGTGAGGTTTATGGGGTTTTTTGACAGGTTACTAGACTAGGCAGTGTGATGTGGTGAGTAGGGTGCTCACTGTGAAACCAAGAAGATGTGGTAAAAACTGGCTAGTCACTTTAGGCTTAAACCTTTTAAACCTCTCAGTTCTCCAGGCCTCTCTCTAAGACTAAGTTACAGAGAAGTTGCAGACCTACACTGACATTTCTTCATCCAGTATTTCCCGGTCTATACCAACAAAATTGTAGGTCCAGTTCTTTTCCGTATTCTTCTCCCTATTCATTCTAAACTAATAGTTCAAGGGAATTCATGTAGCTTATATAATTTTATTTTCATTGACTTTAGGTACTTTTTAGCAAAACAGTTGACAGTCTAATACTATTCTTGTGAACAAAATGGAGAGAAATAATGTAGTACAGTTTGATAGATTGAGAACTGATTGAATGATAGACTTATTATGCTTTGATGTCAGCTTAGAAGGAAATCTCTAATGGAGTACCCAAGGAATTTGTGCTTTATTTTGTTCTATTTAATATATTTATCAATAGTTTGGATAAAGGTGTAGATGGCATGCTTGTCAAATTTGCTGCAGACACAAAGCTTGGGAAGGATAGTGTGTTGGATGAGAGTTAGGATCCAAAAAGATCTTGGTGGGCTAGTTCTTTGTAGTAAATTGAATTTGTAGCTCTCTTAAGAATCCCCATCTTCTCACAGTTTATCCCTGGTTTCTCTTATATTTCTAGATTTGATTTTTGTTTTTCTGATGCTGTTGCTGATTTTCTACTTAAACTTTTTCTGCCTCTTTTTAGCTTTTTATTTAATTTTAAAATTAAATTAACATTTTTTTCAGTTAACAAAAAGCAATTTTTCTCCCATTCTCACTTTCCTGTCCTCATTGAAAAGGAAAAAAGAAAAAAAAAACTTTAAAAAATGTACCTAGTCAAGCAAAACAAATTCCTACATTGGCCATGTCCAAAAATATATCTCATTCTGTACCCTGAATCCATTACCTCCCTCTCAGAAGGTGGGTAGCATGCTTTATCATTATTCCTCTTGAGTATAGTTGATCATTCGGTTGATCAGAGTTAAGTCTTTTGGAGTTGTTTCTTTTTACAGTGTTGTTCTTGTATACATTATTTTCCTGGTTCTCCCTAATTTGCATCAGTTCATATAAATTTTGCCAGGTTTCAATGAATTCATCCCTTTTATCCTTTCTTAGGGCACAGGGTATTCCATTATATTCATATACCATAACTTGCTCAGCCATTACCCAGTTGATGGGCATGTTCTTAGTTTCCAGTTCTTTGCCACTACAAAAAGAGCTACTCTAAATATTTTTATACATCTGGCACCTTTTCCTCTTTCTTTGATCTCTTTGCCTCCTCTGCTTCTATCTACCTGCATTGAGCCACACTCATCTTGTGGGAATGTAGTGAAGCCACTGAGAAAATGAAGGCCAGGTGAAGTCAGAGTTACCTGTAAGGACAGGCCTGACAGGTCAGTGCAGTGATATAAATTTTAGAAAATTTATTAATACATTACAAACAAAGGAAAAAGAATTTTTAGGTGCTTGTTATGTGCCAAGCATTGTGCTAAGTTTTGAGATTACAAATACAGAAACAAAGGTGATCACTGACCTCAGGGAGCTTAGTTGTAATAATGGAAGAAACACACTTTGAGGTAGTCAGAGAGTGGTATTTTGGTTTGTAAAGTAAAGATGGATACATCCTTATAAGCAGCAATGATAGTATTGATTTGATTATGGTCCCAGAACTGGAAAGCTAGGTGTTTATGTGTGTTTGTATGGGGGTGAGGAGGCGGAAGTTAGCACTGAGGATGTCAGAATTGCAAGGTAGCTGTCAAGACAATCAGTAAAACCTGACTGGACCTGGCTTACCTTAGTGAACTCAATTAGGCACTGACCAATCAGGACAGCAAGGCCTCAGGACCGAAGTCCCACAGAAGAAAAGGTTAAAGAGGATCATTCTACCACTCCAACCCCATTCACAGAAAAAGGACATTTTCATAATTTCAGTGTAGAGTATCTTTAGCCAAAATGTCACAATGGCTAAAAGTGGGTTTATTGAATAGGATGAATATGTGGAGGGTTCAGACTGCTCCCTGTGATTTCATTGGTGTTGCTGAGTGGTGTCAAATTTATATGTAAATGAATCTCTGTAGGCTGCATATTGACTTAGAAAACCACAAAATAACATTATCTGTGTTTTATTGTATTTCTGTTTATTTTGTTAAGCATTTCACAATTATATTTTAATCTGGTTTCAGAGTTTCTGGTATAGGGAACTCCCATAGAACTCTGGTGTAAGGAACTCCTGAATTAATACAGATCATCAGTTGTTCTGCAGCTTACAGTCTTAAGAAAGTTGCCTGGGCCACTGAAATGTTAAATATTTTACCCAGGATGCATGTGTTAGTGGCAGCATTTGAACTCAGATCTTCTTGATTCTTCTCAGTCCTCTATATTTCTCTGCCTCTTGGGTAATGGAATAAGAGTGTTATTAATAACTTAAATAATAATGTTTTAAAGGTTTATATAGAAAAGAGGTTTACAAAAAGAAATTGATTTTCTTGATTCTCAGGAATCTTAAGATATGTATTGGTACAGTGCAAAGAGTGCTAGATTTGGAGTTCAGGTCCCAGTTCTGCCATTGACTACTGAGGAAAATGAATCATTTAATCTCTCTAAGCCTCATTTTCTTTTCTATAAAATAAGACAGCTGAACTATATGATCTCTAAGATATCTCCTAACTTTATTCTTCTCTGAAGATGAAATTTAATAAGGATAATTGTATGTCTTATCCTGAGTTTAAAAATTATCAACTTAATATATACACGATAGAGGGAAGTTTTGCCATGCAGTCATTTATGTGCAAAAGATCTGGCACTTTTAGCATCCATGCCACCTTCTCTCTGTAAGTCACATACACTACTACTTCCTTCCCCCCTCTCAGCAGAGGATCTTTAATGTTTTACTGTGGAAATAAAAGTCATTTGTTAGAGTTCCCTTTTTTCCCTACTCTACCAATCTAATCCTATCAGCAATCAGTAAACATTTAGTAAGCACCTATTAGGCACCGTGCTAAGCACTACAGATACAAAAAGAGGCAAAAGACAGTTCCTGTGCTCAAAGAGTTTACAATCTAATGGATTGTAACAATCTTAGCAACATCAATTTACATGATTTCTTCTGCTCTAGTTTTAGAAGAAGAGGTGGCCCTTCTTCTTGCCAAGGTCAACATGTTCCAAAACAGAACTCATTATATTTCCTCCTAAACCCACATTTCCTCTTAGTTTCCCTTTATTTGTTGAAGTCATCCTCATCCTTCCAGTTATCCAGTTTTGCAACCTTAACATCATTCTGTACTCTTCCTTCTTCCTCACTCCACATATCCAGTCAGTCACCACATCTTGTAGATTATGTCCACATCATCCTTTTCAGTCACGCAGTCCTCACTCTGGTTTAGGTCCTCATGACCTCTCATCTGGACTACTGCAATAGCCTCCTCATTATTCTTCTGGCCTCCAATCTATCTTCTTTCCAATCTGTTCTCTACCCAGCTGCCAAATTGTAAAACACAGACATGATCACGTTATTCTCCTATTGAAGAAGCTTAAGTGGCTCCATTTTGTCTCTTAGATAAAATACAAACTCTTTTGACATTTAAAGGTCTTCACAACCTGTCTCTGGGCTGGTTTTTTTTACACTGATTTCACAGCATTCCCTTTCTTCCCTTGCTCCATTCAAAGTTTAGGTCAAGTACCACTTCCTGCACTAGAGGTATACACATTGCTTTGCATAGATTTTACATTTAATTATCTGTGTACATATCACATTGTTTACCCCAGTAAAATGTTAAATGCTTGTGGCAGGGATTGACTTGTTGTGGTCTTTGTATCCCCTGACTTAATACTGTGCCTTACATATAGTAGGTACTTAATAAATACTTGTTGAATTGAATTGTACTGAAAACTCAGTCTGGGTGAGCTGGCAGCTGGAAAAGCTAACATGACTTTAGTCTGTTTATAGAGAAGCATAGTTGGCTGGGACAGGGAGATGATAGTCCTTTTGTATTCTGCCTCAGTGAGAACACATCTGGAATACTGTGTTCAGTTCTGGGCACCATTTTTTAAGGGGTGGACATTAATAAGACATAGAATGTTCATTGGAAGGTGTCCAAGATGATGAAGGGCCTCAAAATCATTCAGTTCAATGCAATAAATATTAATCACCTACTAGATATAAAGTCAAGGAGTTTATGCTCCAAGATGCAAGATATGGACATAAGGAAAGACGTCTGATGAAGGGAAGACCCTTAATAACTGGAGACGGGGGCATGTAGAACAGGAAAGGCTTTGTGGTAGAAGCTGATCCTTGAGTGAAGATGAAGAGTCTAAGAGAAAAAGGTGAGGAGGGCATCTAATCAGGCATGAGAGTTGGCTTTTGCAAATGCACAGAAATTGGAGATAAAGGGTGTTAAGATGAGGGAATAGCTACTGTTTTCATTTTGGTTAGAAAAGAATAGTAAATTGAAAGGGAGTAGTATCAAGAATGGATAAATAGGTGGGATCTGGATTTCAGAGAATTTTATTCTAGCTTCAGGAGTTTGTATTGTATCCTATAGGCAATAGTGGCCTCCAAAGCCTTTTCTTTTTCTTTTTCTTTTTTTTTATGTTAAGAAAATGATTTTGGTGGCTGTATGTGGAAGGTGGATTGAAGAGAGAAATACCATTTAGTGAGCTACTTCAGTAGTCTAGGCAAATCCTGCATTTCTGGGGATCAGATTAAAGAATTAGAGATTTTTAGCCTGGGGAGAGACGATTTAAGGTAGCTCTTTTTAAATAACAGAAAAGCTTTCTTGTGGGAGGAAGGTTTAGAATTGCTGGCCCCTGAGGATAGAACTATGGGTGGTGGGTGGAAATTGTAGAGAGCTGTTTTAGGCTTGATTTAACTAAGAAACAAAACAAATAAGCTTCTTAACAGACCAATCTAAAAGTAAGAGGGGTGGTGGTAGAACAAGCATTTATTAAGCCTCTGCCATGTGCCAGGCACAGTGCTCATTAGGAGGTATGTTAGTCTTCTGGGAAAGGCTGAATGGCCATTTGTGACATATTATAGAAGGGATTCTTGTTCAGGTATTGTGTGGTCTCTGAGGTGCCTTCCAACTCAGAGACTCATGATTCTGTGAGCTAGTAATGCCAACCACTATTTACAGTAAACAAAAATAGTTTTTTGTTTTCTTGAAGGTGTGTAATAGCAACAAGAACTGTCATTGTAACATGGGCTGGGCTCCCCCAAATTGTGAGAATACAGGGTACGGAGGAAGTGTGGACAGTGGACCTACTTACAATGGCAAGTAATAAAGAGAAAAAAACCCCTAGGATTTCCGACCTTCCTGTCTTTAGTTGGTACAACAGAATATTTACCATTTCATGACACTTATTTTTCTTGGTTGGAAAATGGAAACTAGAAACAGATACCAATTAAAATCCTGTTTTCAAGGTCTGAGAAATTATTTACCTGAATCATATATACAAGAAATAAATGATTCATTATGCACTGAAATTGGTTTCTATTCTAAAATCCAGACAGCTTTAATGCCATTAACAGGAAAAAAACCCCAGAAACATTTTAAATAAAATTTCTACGTCTTGTAATAAAATGGAAAAAGCACTGCCTGGATTTGAAATGAGAGGACCTGGTTTGTTTTCAGGTGTTGGCTGTGCTACATCCTAACTCTGGGACTTTGGGCAAGTCACTTCTCTCTCTGAGCCACAGTTTCCTCATCTATAGAGTTAGGGGCTGGACTTGATGGTCCTCAAGGTCTCTACCCTGCTCTAAATCCTTTGTACCATACTTTTATAACCTCATAATCACTGTAAATGCAGTTTGCTACCACTATTTATATCTATTCCCTCTGTTCCTTCAAAGGACTTAGAAAATTGCATTAATAAGTGCTACTAATGCTAATCAGTAAATAAGGGAGCTATCTGGTTTAGTGGAAAGGATACTTTTCTGAGAATGCACTTGGATTATTTTCCAAGGTCTGCTACCATTTCATTGGGTGACCTTGGGTAATTTGTTACTCTGCTAGGCCTTACTTTCAGCCTCTATAAAAGTATCTTGGGCTAAATAATGCTGAGAAAGTTACTTCTAACTCTGACATTTCATGATTCTATGAAATAATCTATGTTTTTGAATATGCAAAATTGAGCCAACATATTGTTTAATTTAATGACCACTGATATGAAAATTCTGTTTTCTCTAGATAAAGACACTTCACTTCGGGATGGGCTTTTAGTGTTTTTCTTCCTAATTATTCCCCTTCTTGTATTTGCTGCCTTTGTCTTCCTTAAGAGGGATCAGCTTCGAAGAAGATTCTTCAGAAAGAAAAGATCCCAAACTTATGAGTAAGTACCCTTTCCTTACTATAGTTAATGTTAGATGATAAATATGTATGGAATTTCTTAATGTGAATTAATGTGACAGTGGCTAGAGCTCTGGACCAAAAAGTTAGGAAGACTTGCATTTGAATCCTTCCTCAGATGCTTACTAGTTGTGTGTGACACTAGACAAGTTACTTAATCTGTCTTAGTCTCAGTTTCCTCAACTCTGACATTGGAATCATAATAACCCCGCCCAGGATTGTTGTGAGACTCTTTCGAGATAGTTTTTGTGTCAGCCTGACCCTGGGGATGGGCATTTAGGGGGGAGAAGGGTCATGATGCAAAGGAACCAGAGCACTTGGGAATATTGTTTATTGGTGGCTTGTGTTTTGAAACTATGGATGATAGTTATTTTTAAAAAATTAATTAATTCATTGTTAGTTTTCAACATTCACTTCCACAAGCTTTTGAGTTTTAAATTTTCTCTCCCTCCCTCCCCACTTCCCTCCCTAAGACAGTATGGAATCTGATATAGGCCCTACATATACATTCGTATTAAACTTATTTTCACATTAGTTGTGTTGTAAAGAAGAATTAGAACCAATAGGGGGAACTACGAGAAAGAGGAAACAAAACAGAAGAGAAAAAAAAGCAAATAGTATGCTTCCATCTGCATTCAAACTCCACAGTTCTTTCTCTGGATGTGGATAGCATTTTCCACAACGACACTTTTGGAGATGTCTTAGATCCTTGCATTGCTAAGAAGAGCCAAGTCTATCAAAGTCATTCATCACACAATGTGGCTGTTACTGTGTACAACATTCTCTTAGTTCTGCTCACTTCACTCAGCATCAGTCCATACAAGTCTTCTCAGGATTTTCTGAAGTCTGCCTGCTCATCATTTATTATATAGCACAATAATATTCCATTACATTCATATGCCAAAACTTTGTTCAACCATTCCCCAATTGATGGGCATCCCCTCAATTTCCAATTCTTTGCCACCACAGTAAGAGCTGCTATAAATATTTTTGTAGATGTGGGTCCTTTTCCCATTTTTACGATCTCTTTGGAATACAGACCTTGAAGTGGTATTGCTGGGTCAAAAGATATAATGGATAGTTTTAAGAGAAAACTTTGAAAAATGGAGCACTCTCACACTTTGTGTGGTGATAAGAGATTCCAGACAAATGTTCAGAAGCTTTAGCTTTGTGATCTTATCTTTTATAGAACAGATAGAGGCAGCAATGTGTGCAGTGGAGCACCAAGGAGTGCTTTTTTAGAGAGGCTTCTGTAAAACCTAGTGTACATCTAACCATGAAGACAATATTTGTTGGTGTTATTGAAGAAAATATACAAGAATATAATTTAAGAGACTACCTTCAAAAGCATGGAAAAGATTGAAATCATAGAAGTGTGGAAGATTGACATAGTAAAAAGAAGAAAGGATTTGTTTTTGTAACTTTTGGTGATTAATAGCTATAGAATTTGTGTAGCTATTTATTAGGTACTTGCAGTGTGCCTATGGTACTATGCTAAGTCTTGGGGATAGAAAGAGGCAAAAGACATTCCCTGCTGTCAAGGAGCTTATACTGTAATGATGGAGACACCATGCAAACAAATATATACAGAGCAAGCTATATATAGAATAAATAGGAGATAATTAGCAGAAGGAAGATACTAGGACTAAGAGAGGTTGGGGAAGGCTTTCTGGAGAAGGTGGGATTTTAGTTGGGAATTAAAGGAAGCCAATAGGCAGAGTTGAGGAGGAAGAACATTCCAGCCATGGGGAGCAGCCAGAGAAAATGCGTGGAGCTAAGAAATGGAGTATCTTGTTTGTGTAACAGGAGGCCAGCAGCCTGGATTAGAGTATATGTGTTAGGGAGTGAGGTTTAAGAAGACTGGGAGGGGGAGGCAGAGCCAATATGGCAGAGTAAAAGCAGTGACTTGCCTGAGCTGTCCCCTAAACCTCTCCAAATACCAGTAAAAAGTGGCTCTAAAATTTTTTAAAGCAGCAGAACCCACAAAAAAGACAGAATGAAACAAATTTCCAGCCCAAGACAACCTGGATAGTTGATTGGAAAGATATATTGTGCCAGGCAGGGAGAGGAATGCAGTTCAGTGTGGGCACGCTGGCAAAACAGGCCTTAGTGAACCTGAAACAGCCCTCAGAGGAGTGAATCACGGGCAGCTATGGCGGTTTCCAGACTTCTCAACCCATGAACACAAAAGACAACTTAGAAGGTCAGTAGGAAAAGTCTGTGACTACAGTGAGAGAGAAGCTTAGTCCTACACCAGTCCCTGAGCACAGCCCCGGTCAGCAGCTGCTTCTAGAGCTTCCGGCCTACAGACTGAGGGGGAATCAAATGGCTGATCAGAGGGAGATTGCAGGGATGTCTTTGCTCGTGCTGAGGCAGGATTCTCTTCCTTTGCCCATGCTTGGATTTGTGTCACAGTTCTGGGTGGTGGTTCCTGGGGCGAGGAGGAGCGCTGGAGTGATGGAGCTTGTAGTGGTGGTGCAGAGAAAATCCTCACAGTTCGAAGGCAGAAAAGAGTGCTTGAGTCACTCATGGACCAGAACACAGGCCAGGAAAGGAATAAACACCTCACCCCTTATCATACCATCTTGGAATAACTGAAAATTTATAAGTCCCTGGAAGTTATCTCTGAAAACAGCTGCACAAAACCCCTGAAGCTCAGGACAGTACATTCTCCACACTGGAAGCAGACCCGTACCTTAACAAAGAGTTTAATAGTCAAGTAATTGGCTGGGATCATGAGCAAACCTCGCAAAAAAAAACCTTAGGCCATAGAATCCTTCTTTGGTGACATAGAAGATCAAAACATATAACTAGAAGAAGACAACAAAGTCAAAGTTCCTACGTCCAAGGCCTCCAAGAAAAATATGAATCAGTCCTAAGCCATGGAAGAGCTCAAAAAGGATTTTGAGAAGCAAGTAAGAGAAGTAGAGGAAAAACTGGGAAGAGAAATGAGAGTGCTGCAAGAAAATCATGAAAAACAAGTGAACAGCTTGCTAAAGGAGATTAAAAAAAAAACCTGAAGAAAATAACACCTTAAAAAATAGCCTAACCCAAATGGCAAAAGAGGTCCAAAAAGCCAATGAGGAGAAGAATGCCTTAAGAAGCAAAATTGTCCAAATGGAAAAGGAAGTCCAAAAGCTTACTGAAGAAAATACTTTCTTAAAAATTAGAATAGAGCAAGGGAACCAAGATGGCAGAGTGAAAAGGTAGTTGCTCTCACTCTCCTCTATCAACCTCTGAAAACCCAGAAAATATCACCCCAGAAAAAACCCTGGAGTACCTGAACTAGAAGAAAGACGAGGAGCAGCAGAGCAGCATCCCAGCAAATAGGTCTCCCAGTGCCTCAGCAAAAATAAGGGAGGCAGAACTACAAGGGGCCCCAGGCAGAGAAGTACCCTGCTGCATTCATCTGAAAGGAGGTGAAGAAAACACCTAAAGGCTTCCTAAAGCCCCGGCCTTGCTGATTCCAACCCAACAACAGGTGAGCTATTGGAGCCCTGAAGCCTCCAATTGTGAAGAAATCCTGAAGCCCAGGTGGTAGAGCAGGCAAACACCAACACCTGGACCTCTACCACCGGCGGAAACCAGCTCACAAAGCCACCAGGAGCCTCGGCACTCCACCACAAAGGAATCTCCCAGTGCATTAGCAGAAATGAGGGACACAACACTGCAGGGGCCCCAGGCAGATAAACACCTGCAGCACCCATCTAAAAGGAGCTGAAGAAAGCTAAAGGAAAGGAAAAGCAGGCAACCTAGAATTGCCTGAAAGTTCCAGCCTTGCTGATTCCAGCCCAACACAGGTAAGCTGCCAGAAACCTACAGCCTCCAATTGCCAGCATAAGAGGCCCCAGCATGCAAAGCCAGTGACCAAGACCTAGGCTCCCAACACAAGAAGCTTGGGTCAGTACCCTTTGTTCCCCAGCAGGAGAGCTCAATCTCTTTAAAGGCCAGGGAATAAAGAAACACCATGAGTAAAAAGAAACGTACCATGGATTCATATTATGAGAAGAGTGAAGATCAAGACAGAAATTCTGAAGAGGACAACATTGTCAACAAACCCACATCTGCAACAACAAAAGGGAATATGAACTGGTCTGAAGCCCAAAAAGCCTTCTTAGAAGAGCTCAAGAAGGATTTTAATAGTCAAATGAGAGAGGTAGAAGAGTCCTTCAAAAATACAATTGGCCAATTGGAAAAAAAATACACTGAAGAAAACAAGTCCCTAAAAAACACAATTGGCCAGTTGAAGAAGGAAGTACAAAAACTAACAGAAGAAAACAATCTGTTAAAAACTAGAATTGGACAAATGGAAACTAATGTCTCTATGAGAGAGCAAGAATCAGTCAAACAGAAACAAAAAAATGAAAAAATAGATGAAAATGTAAAATACCTCATCAGTAAAACAACCGACCTGGAAAATCGACTCAGGAGAGACAATTTAAAAATTATTGGACTACCTGAAAATCATGATGAAAAAAGAGCCTGGACAGTATCTTTCAGGAAATCATAAAGGAAAACTGCCCGAAGTCCTAGAACCAGAAGGGAAAATAACCATAGAAAGAATCCACCGATCACCACCTGAAAGAGATCCCAAATTGACAACGCCAAGAATATAATAGCAAAATTCCAAAATTACCAGATGAAAGAGAAGGTGCTGCAAGCAGCCAGAAAGAAACAATTTAAATATCATGGAACCACAGTCAGGATTACACAGGACCTTGCAGCTTCTACATTAAAAGACTGCAGGGCATGGAACATGATATTCCATAAGGCAAAGGAGCTTGGAATGCAGCCAAGGATCAATTACCCAGCAAAAATGAGCATCATTTTTCAAGGGAGGAGGTGGATATTCAATGAAATAGGAGACTTCCAAACTTTCCTGATAAAAAGACCAGAGCTCAACAAAAAATTTGATCTTCAAGTACAGGACTCAAGAAGGACTTAAAAAGGTAAATGGGACAGAAAGATACAATATGTTGTTAA